TTGCCATCTTGTTTGATGCAAAGTCCTTATTTGTCTATGGTATCTGAAAGGAAAGCGAGGAACCTGGAGATGGTGAGTGAGAAATCAAAGACCAAGACCAGGTAGAGATACACAGGAGAGTTTATTTGACAAAGCTTACAAATAAAGGCACATCTCTCATAGATGGAGAGAGTCCCAGTTATTTATTTTTGAGAGGATTTGGATGTAAGGATGGTTTAGGCATATTACTGATGATGTTTTATTGGAGGCATCTATTTATCCTTCTCTCACCCTTCCAAAAGTTTTTATTTTTTAAGTTGTAGATGGACACAATATCTTGATTTTATTTATTTATTTTTATGTGGATTGAACGCAGTGCCTCACACATGCTAGGCAAGTGCTCCACTACTGAACCACAACCCCAGCCCTCCAAAAGCTTTTTTTTTAAATTAAAAAGGAGGAGGCTGGGGTTGTAGCTCAGCGGTAGAGCACTCACCCAGCACGTACGAGGCGCTAGGTTCGATCCTCAGCACCACATAACAATAAATAAAATAAAGATATTAGAAAAAAAAATTAAAAAGGAAATTTAGTGAATCCATCATTTGAACTCAGTATACAGTATACAGTCTATCTTCTGCCTGTTTTCCAATTTTTTTAAAAAGTCTAAAGCTAAACCTTCTTTTAAAAAAATTTTTTTTAGTTGTAGATGGACACACAGTATCTTTGTTTGCTAATTTATTTTTTTATGTGGTGCTGAAGCTCGAATCCAGTGCCTTACATTTGCAAGGCAAGCGCTCTAGCACTGAGTTATGGCCTCAGCCCTCCAATTCTTACAGTTATCAAAAGTGAAGCATATCCAGGTTTTATTTTTAGTGTTTAACTTACTATTGACCTTAAAAAATTTGTTGAAGGACAAGTTTCAAAATCCTTTTTTCTTAAAGAATAAATATGCTACATTATTGTATGTATTTATTTTAAAGTATAAAGTTGTTATCAAATTAAATAAAAAATGTCTTTGGGTTTCAAAAGGTAGACCTAACGACTTATTTAAATGTTTTAATTAGAAATTTCAAGGATGCCTCACTTGTGACTTCTGTATTAGACTGGAAAAAACTTAAACATTTAAAAAATATTTTTAGTTGTAGATGGACACAATACCTTTATTTATTTTTATGTGGTGCTGAGGATCAAACCCAGTGCCTCACACATGCTAAGCAAATGTTCTACCTCTGAGCTGCAACCCCAACCCAAATTTAAACATTTTTAATGACTTATTTATAACTTATCTTTTTAGCTAAATTTTAGTTTAGTTGTTAATACAAGTGCAAAAATGATATGATAACATAATATCATTCTCATATTAAAAGTAACATCTTGCCTGTGCAAAAAGGAATCTGGATTGATGTACATCAAACTGTTAACTGAAATCATCTTAATTAGAGCAGGAAGAGGAAAAAGATAGGTACCAAGAAATTTGTTGTTTTTTAAAACATTTTTTTTTTTTTAGTTGTAGATGGACACAATACCTTTATTTTTAGTTTATTTTTATGTGGTGCTAGGGATCAAACACAGTGCCTTACATGCTAGGCAAGCACTCTGCCACTGAGCCACAATCCAGGCCCCAAGAAATTTGTTCTTTTAAAGGGCTTACATGATTCTGAATTTATAATCTTCCAAGGATGCTGAAATTACTATTCCTTTTTTTTTCTTTTTCATGTTAAAAATCATTTACAGAGATTTTGATTGTTTAGTGTTGGGGACTGTGAACCTAGGACCTTACGCATGGTAGGCGAGTGTTATAGCATTGAGCTTCACTCCCAACCCAATTTGCAAAGATGTTTAATACTCGTTTGTATTGGATTATAATAAGATTTGATTTACCCTAGGTTATAGCTAGTGGACATTCAATCAGAGTACTACTTTTTGTAAAATGCTTTTGTGATCAACTGATAAGAGATCCCATCTAAGTTTGAACCTTCATTGTAATTTTCTTCTTTGGACCAGCAAAGGTATTGATAGCTGTTTTTGCCAGTTAATAATAAAAATTGCTCTGCAAGAATTTTTTGATTAAGAAGGATAAGCTGAATTCTTCCAGAGTTTTGTTAGCTCTTAACACAAGAACTTAGGAAGGGAAACATATAAAAAAACATGTATTCACTTTTTAAAAATAATTTTATTGAGGTATTTTTTTATATGCCTTATAATTCACTCCTTGAATATGTACAATTCAGACTGGGGGTTGGAGCTCAGTGGTAGAGCCTGTGTTGGATCCCCAGTAATACAATAGAAATAGAAATAAAATTCAGTTCATTATTTTTTGGTAATATTCATTGATATGTGCAGCCATCATCAAATACAATTTTAGAGCATTTTCATCACTTTAAGGAGAAACCTCTGTAACCTTTATCATTCATCCCCTACCTTACTTTCCTACCTTCAAGCAATCCATTTCTCTATTTTCTGTCTATGTGTATTTCCCTGTTCTGCGCTTTGATATGAATGAAATTGTAATAGTATGTGGTCTTTTGACAACTGTATCTTTCACTTAATGTAATGTTTTCCAAGTTTCCTCAGTGTTGGAGAATGTAACAATACTTTATCTTCCACATTCCCCCCCCCCTTTTTTTGGTACCAGGCGTTGAACCCAGCAACCATCGAGCCACATCCTCAGCTCTTTTATTTCATTTTATTAAAAAAAATTTTTTGAGATAGGGTCTTGCTAAATTAGCTACGGCCTCGCTAATTTGCTGAGGCTGGCCTTGAACTTGTGATCTGCCTGCCTCAGCCTCTCAAATTGCTGGGACTACAGGTGTGCACCACTGCACCTGGCCTACTTCATTCTTTTTTTATGACCCAATAATATTCCATTGTATAGGTATATCACTTTGTTTTTATCTGCTCATCAGTTGATAGACATTTGGATTATTTCCACTATTTAGTTATTGTGAATAATACTGCTACGAACATTCACGTACAAATTTCTTTGTGGACATGTATGTGCTTAATTCACAAGTACTGATCAAATTAACAAATAAGCCCGCTGAAAATAAGCTTGATGGATACTGATGTACATACCTACACTTAAAAATGTAGCCACTTGGGTGTGGGTTTCTTTGGGGAAACAACAAAATATTATAAAATTGATTTTGAAATATGTGTATTTAATATACTGTCATCTCTTATTCAGGCTTTACAGTAAGTTTTTGACATGTTGACAGTAAAATCTAGGTTCTTTGTTAATCACCTCAACTTCGAAGTTTTTTTTTTTTAAGTTGTAGATAAAATACCTTTATTTTATTTATTTATGTGTTGCTTAGGATAGAACCCAGTGCCCCATGCATGCAAGGCAAGTGCTCTACCACTGAGCTGCCACACCCCAGCCCTGAAGTTTTTAATAAAAGGATATATATATATATATATATATATATATATATGCAAATATATTTATCTTTATGGAGGTATATATGTGTGTGTCTATATATGTGTGTAATATCTAAATAACATATTCATTTGAAGTATTTAAGTTATTGCTTAATTTGTTTCAAAGAAAATGTTCATGATCAATAAATATCTGTTAATAAGTTTGTGAAATTGTATTAGAGAAAAGGAATGCCCCTTCTACTGGGAATTCCTGAATAATATGCTATCTAGATATCTGAATTTCTTAATAAATAACTTACTTCTTCAAGGGCTTCTTAATCAGAATACAGATTCTGAAGGTAATTTAATTCTCTTGTGTGCTCAGTAGTCTGACTCACTGTATTTTTTGACCTGGACATGAATGAATTTCCAAATAGAAGAAATAACAAATGGATTTGTAATCAGGCAAGGTGTTTATGTGTAGTGCCTTTGAAGGAGGTTCCTTGTGCATCATGATCCCTATTAGGAAAAATGTTCTTTCTCAGTTAAGAACTGAGGGGCTGGGTTTGTGGCTCAGTGGTAGAGTGCTTGGCTAGCATGTGTGAGGCACTGGGTTTAATCCTCAGCACCACATAAAAACAAATAAATAAATGATGTTATTTTAGAAAATCCCTAAGTTAAAAAAACAAAACAAAACTGAGGATTGGAGTAGCTAATATTGTTTCCTAAGGTATATTACTGTTATTATATTAATTTTACTCTATTGAATACTAAATTTACTAAATTTTACTTAATATCAATAAAATAGTAAAATTTAGTACATTTGGCACTGAAGAAAAATAAACCTGTTAAAGAGAGTTGTTTAGTTTATTAGTGGTCTTTTATTTCACAGATTAGATTGACATTTCTCATGTTTTCTTTGTCGTGATTTACTAATTTAGTATTTATACAATTACACAGCAATAAAGTGTAGTGATCTGATTATGTTATTCTAATTAGTTGAAAGATTTTCTAGGAAAATGTAGTGATCTGATTCTGTTATTCTAATTAGTTGAAGACTAAGAAAATAGCCGGTTTCTTCTCTTTTCTTAAAATTTTATTCTTTTCAAGCTCTCTCAAGTTTACTAAAGGGTTTAGAATAGGAATTGTAAAGTATTTGTTTTTCTGGTTTCTAATGCTTATATGATGAAAAAATACTATGGCATCTTGACTCAGGTCAAGATTTAGTTGTTCTAAAGCACAAATTCTTGAGTTAGTTTCTTAGTATGTCTCAAAAGAACTGAAAGGGGATTTTAAAAGGTCTGTTGCTGATATTTTCTAACGTAATGCTGTATGTTAAAATTTCAGACTTATGTTCATTAATTATACCATTATGGGTGATTATGGAATATGAGCATATGTGTGTGTATATCTATATGTGTATATATAGTAAATTACATTTATCAAAGCATGTAGAATTGCATTGATAACAGTTTAAAATCATACTGTGAATGATAGTGGTTAAATTGAGGAAAAACAACTTACCAGAGCATAAGATTTGTAAGATAAGAATAATATTTATGTAGTCTAGAGTTATTGTATTCTCCAGTCATTTTTTACCTCTTTCTCTTTTGTTAAACTAAATATCTATAAGCTAAATATTAAATATCTTTGAATTTTAGGGAGAAAAAAATAGTGGCTTTGATGTTCTCTACCATAATATGAAACATGGACAGATATCAACAAAAGAACTAGCAGATTTTGTAAGAGAAAGGTATGTATTTGTTATAAGTAATTTGTTAAACAATTATCAATTTGAATTATAGAATATAAATAATTGGACAAAATTTGGTAGGGTTTAGAATAATCAATGGACACTTTTAAAAAGTATACTGTAACTATATGTATATAAGTATACTGTAACTATATGTATATTTGTGTATATATATTTATGAATGTTATGTCTTTTTATTTACTTTTTGCAGTACAGGGGATTGAATGCAGGGGCACTTTACATCTTAGCTACATCCCCACCCCTTTATTTTATTTTAGTTCTGAGACTGGGTCTTGGTAAGTTGCTGAGGTTGGCCTCAAACTTGCAATCTTCCTGCCTTAGCCTCCTGAGTACCTGGGGTTATAGTGTGTGCCATCCAGCCTACCTATAATTATATTTTAGAGGAGTATTTTTTTTTAATCATCTACATACCTGAGGGCTGAATAATGGTTTGGAGAGACATTGTTAAATACTTGGTTTGCAAATTAATGCTTAACATAATATTTATGCATTTTTCATTGGATATGTTAGCAAAAGTGATGCAATAAAAGATTTAGAAATATTATAGGATAAAATATTGTTCTCAATTTCATTTATTTTGTTTTTGATCTTATTTATTTCCTTCTTAATTATTTCCTATCTTTTACTCATTTTGGAATTAGTTTGTTTTTCTTTTTCTAGGACCCTGAGGTGTATAATATTAGATTATTTGGTATCTTTGTTTTTTTTAAGTGTAGGCACTTAATGCAATAAACTTTTCTCCTAGAACTGCCTTATACTGTCCTAGAGAACTTTATTTTTTGTATCTCTGTTCTCATTTGAATCTAAGAATTTATTGCTTTTGAGGCTGGGGATGTGGCTCAAGTGGTAGCACGCTCGCCTGGCATGCGTGCGGCCCGGGTTCGATCCTCAGCACCACATACAAACAAAGATGTTGTGTCCACTGAAAACTAAAAAATAAATAAATAAATATTAAAAAATAAAAGAAAAAAAAAGAATTTATTGCTTTCTTCTTTCATTTAGAATCCACTCCTCATTTAAAAGAGTACTGTTCAATCTTCATGTGTTTATGTGGTTTCTATAATTTTTATTCCTGTTGATTTCTAATTTCATTCCATTATGATTTTATAAAATGCATAGGATTATACCAGTTTTTTGTATTTGCTAAGACTTAGGTTGTGACTTAGTATATGGTATATTGTGGAAAAGGTTCCATGAGCTGCTAAGGAAAAAGTGAATTCAGCTGTTCTGGGGGTCATTTTGTAGATGTTTGTTTGTTAAGTCTAGTTGATTTATAGTATTATTTAGATTGGAAATATTTTTATTGATTTTTATGTTGAATGACCTATTGGTGAAAGGGGTACCTTACCACTGAGCTACATCCTCAGCCCTTTTTATTTTTTATTTTGAGACAGGTCCTGGTAAGTTGCTGAGGGCCTCTTTAATTTGCTGAGGCTGATCTCAAACTTGTGATCCTTCTGCTTCAGCAACCTGAGTCACTGGGATTATAGGTGTGTGCCACAGTGCTCAGCATGACATTTTTGTTTAAGGTGGCTTTCTGGACTTAAAAATCACATTATTTGTCCAACAGAATTAATGATTATTTAAAAATTTTCCAGTCTTTAGTTAATTTGAGTCATGTAATTTATTATTTAGGTTTTATGGCCCATTCACACACAAAAAAATGCTCTTTATTTTTATTATTCTCATACAGTTATTAGTGAAATTTGTTAAAATTACTTTATCTTGAGGTTGGGGTTGTGGCTCAATGGTAGAGTGCTTGCCTAGCACACATGAGACACTGAGTTTGATCCTCAGCACCACATAAAAATAAATAAAGTAATTAGTGTCATTGTATCCATCTACAACTAAATATATATATATATATATATATTTTTTTTTTAAATACTTGGATAATTTTTCTTTTGTGTTAAATACGTCTTTTTAAAATTCTAGTTGATATGGATTTGCTGATAAATTCTCAATTTTTGTTAGTGTAATAATATCTTTATCATCATTTAAAATGCTTTTGAACACATACAGAACTGTACAGAAGTTCTTAATGTAAGGAACTTCCATGTAGCAATTACCCAGCCTCAACATGGCTATTCTTGTTATCAAATCATGGTCATTCTTGTTCCACCTGATCCATATCACTGCTACTAAATTGTTATAAATTCAGTATCAGATTCAGAAATGTTACATTTCATCCATTTGCATTTCAGATGTATCTTTAGAAAAGCCTTTAAAAAGCACAGCATTTCCTATCTAAAAATGTAGTATTAATTCCTTAGTATCACTGAATATACAGTGAGTGCTCAGTTTTCCTTAGTTGCTATGAACATACACAATGCTTATGTACATATACATACACATATGCACATATGTCGTTGATGTCTTCTAATTAGTATCCTAGCAAGATCTCTATATTATACCTGGTTGATGTCTTTTTTGGTTTGTTTCTTTTTCAGGTCTCTTATTTTCTTTTTGTTGTTAAATAAGTCAGAGTATACTACTTAGTGTCCCACTTCTGGTAATATGTAATGACTTTACTTAACATTTTTACTTACCTTTATATTTCCTATAGATTATTTGCATCTAGCATCTTGAACAAATTACACTTAGTATTTTGAGCAGAATACATAATAGGTGGTGGTGCATACTCTATCAGAGGTGTGTACCATTCTCCATCCTAGGAATGTAACATCCAATTATATCTGTTTTGTGATGTTAATGATTGTTGATGTTCATCACCTAGTTCAATTATTGCCTTAGGAATTTACTTTCATTTATATTTTGCTGAATATAGAATTCTAATTGGCAGATTCCTTTTTTAAAACAAATCTTTGAAAATCATTTCATTATCTGCTGCGAAATGTTAGCAGTTAGTCTAGCTATTGCTCCTTTGAAAGTGACATTTGTTGGTTGACAATGTTTGACTGATTTTGTTTTTTAGTCTTTGGTTTTCAGCAGTTTTACTATGATATAACTAAGTGTTGATTGCCTTTTTTTTTTCTTCATTCTTTTGTGGTGCTGAGGATTGAACCCAGGACCCTCATGTATGCTAAGTGCACTTGCCATTGAGCCATATCTCCAACCTTTTTTTAATTCATGCTTTTAGGTTTGTTGTGTTATTTAGATCTGTAATTTTATAGCTTTTGTCAGCTTTGGAAAATTCTCCGTCATTATTTCTTTCAGTATTTCTTCTTACCCATTCTTTGTTTCTTCATATGTTAGACTCTCTATTTCCTCTTCTTTTGTCTTTGAGCTTTAATCTGGGATAGATTTCTTCTTATCTGTCTTCTAGTTATCAAGTTCTCACTACAATGTATCAATCTGCTATAACAATCTCATCATTTGAGCCAGGTATAGTGGTGCATGCCTATAATCCCAGCGGTTGGGGAAGCTGAGACAGGAGGACGGCAAGTTCAAAGCCAGCCTCAGCAGTTTGGCAAGGCCATAAGTAACTTAGCGAGACCCTGTCTCTGAATAAAATATAAAAAATGGTGGGGATGTGACTTAGCGGTTAAGCACTCTAGGTTCAATTCCTAGTACCAAAAAATAAATAACAATTAAAATCTCATCCTTTGAGATATTAATTTTGGTTATTTTATATTTCAGAATTTCAATTTGTGTGTTTTTTTCCCCCCTAATTTGACAATCTTTCTTCTAGTCCTTTTTTTTTGGTGGTGGTGGGGTACCAGAGATTGAACCCAGGGGCACTCAGGCATGAGCCACATTTCCAACCCTTTTTTTGTATTTTGTTTAGAGACAGATTCTCATTGAGTTGCTTATCACCTCACTATTGCTAAGACAGGCTTTGAATTAGAGATTGTCCTATCTCAGCCTGCTGAGCCGCAGGGATTATATGTGTGTACCACCGTGCCTGGCTCTTCTAGTCCTTTTTAATGATTTTCAGGTTTCTATTGAGATTCTTGATCTGATTTATGTATGATCTTGAACATAATACATGTACTCAAAGTCTAAGCTTTGTCATCTTCGCATTTGGAATCCTGGTAATTTGTTTCTGTTGTTTTTCTGTTTGTTTATGTTATCTTGTTTCCTTATGTGCTTAGTGGTTTTCTGAGTGTATATAAGATGTCTATACAAAAATCCAACATCAGAATTTGAAGAGATGGTTTGTGATTCCTGTGAGTGCTTGTCTATGCTTGTCTATGGTTCATCCTTACTTGAAGAGTATTGCATTTATTACCCCAACTTCATAGAATGGGATTTCCCCTGCTTCCTATCATATTTTTATAAGTTTGTTTTCCTTGCTCGTGAGACTGTGGAAAGCTTTTTTTCACTCTTAGCTTTTCAGCTACCTCTTCTTGATGCCCCTAAGAATAAAGATGCCCCACATTCCTGACTCACTTCTTGGAGTATTTTTCTCTTGGATTTTGGTCTTCTGATTCTTATCTTTGATTGGTTCTCTGGTGCTTTTAAGTCACTATTTCCCCTTTCCATGATTTTCTAATTTTCCTTAGTAGGAGGTTTTGGTATCATACTCACATTACTGTTATTTGAAATTTAAGTGTGTGTGTGTGTGTGTGTGTGTGTGTGTGTGTGTTTATTTTTTGCTCTTAAACAACAATTGAGATACTGATATTTCTTTCTGAGTGATTTTTAGGTGATCAAAGTATTACTTTTATAATATACCATTATTTAAACAATACCAAAAAGTTTAGAAGAATAGGAAAAAACCACAGTGTTATCTGTGAGAGGCAGTTACTGCTACTAATTCTTTTTTATTTAACTATTTTTGGTAGGGGCTGAGTTTGGGAAGAATTTAGAAATGAGCTTAGTTTGGATATTCTGATTTTGCGGTGATGCAGATATCTAAGTGTAGCTAGGACTGGGGCCTTTATTGGTGTAAGAGCAGTGTAAATGGATTTAGATAAGGGCAGAAAGTTTAACCTGTCAAATGAAAAGACAGAATGTTCCACTATTAAGGAATTAGCACTGTTGAGAAGGACCAGGGTAATTATGGGAAAGGTAAAACTATAACATTCATTGATTATTTATCTGTAGAATAATTTGTTTTTTAACCATATTTAATGGATTTTTTAAGCCTAAAATCTGATCCACTAAATAACAGTTAAATAAAACACATTTTTTTAGTATGAAATACTTATATTTTAGACCTAATCACAAAATAAGCTCCAAAATTCAGGACCTCAGACTTTCTGCTGGTTCATATTTAGTTGTGTGCAAATGACTGCCATTAGTTTCTTGTTCTTTTAAATATGGATCTCAGTTTTGAATAATAACAAAATTATGTTAAGTACATTAAGGAAGTATTAAATACAAATGACTTATCACAGTGAATTAGTTTACAGATGAATACAAGAAGCAACACTCTTGTTTTTCCTGTTCAAATAACCATTGATACTAAAAATAAAAAAGTAAATTCATTAAAACTTACTGTGATGTAAGTTATTTTAGTTCTGAACCAGCTTTTTAAAGTATATGTGTACAAACGGCATATAGACCAGAAATTTAGAACTGTATACTATAATTTTTAGCATATAATTTGAAGTGTCTTTTTGTTTCTTCATTGTTACTGTATTTTGGTAACTGTTATGTTTTTGGTCACTAATTAAGAGATATTCTAATATGGAAATTTGATTCAACAGAGCTACAATAGAAGAGGCATATTCCAGGTCAATGACAAAACTAGCAAAATCTGCAAGCAATTATTCACAACTTGGGTGAGTTAATTTCTTCCTCTTTTTCAGTGTTCATTTAGGCAAAATTCTTAAGAATATTAGGTTTCTACTTAAGATATAGTAGTTCAGAAATTCAGCGATATACATCATTTAACAATGGTAATACATTCTGAGAAACACATGTTAGGTAATTTTTTGTTATGCAAATGGCATAGGATATACTTACACAAACTAAAATGACTATAATATCATGAAGTTATATGAATTTAATGGGATTACTGATATATATTGTTTATGTGGTTTGTCGTTGATTGGAATGTCAGTATATATGTATGATTGTATTAGGTGTTTATTTAAAATGTGTCTTATGAATATATTCTTGACTTGCTAGAAAATATAATAATGTTGCTGAATCAGTTAACACAAAGAAATTTGACAATTATTTTTTCAAATTTGAGATGATGAATGATACCACTTTACAAGTGGTAAGTTTTCTATCAGTTAATTTAAATTCTGTTGTAATATAACAGTGATCTTTAAAACTCACTTAGCATAAACTATCTTATTAGTGGATTAAAATCCATTAAGATGACTACGTAGTGGTTTAGGAGGCTGAGGCAGGAGGATTAGGAGTTCAAAGCCAGCCTCTGCAAAAGCGAGGTGCTAAGCAAGTCAGTAAGACCCTGTCTCTAAGTAAAATATAAAACAGAGCTGGGGATGTGGCTTAGTGATCAAGTGCCCCCAAGTTCAATCCTCAGTACTTAAAAACAAAAAAAATTTCCATTAAGATTTCTTTTTATTATTTTAAATATCATCATTAGAACTTTCTTTAAAAATTTGTATTGAAAAAATATACTCCTTGAAAATTAATAACAAAAATGTATTTAAAATGAAAATGTGCTCATATCCATAATCACCTGAACCACAACAACTCAGGAAGAAATGATTAATCTTATTTAATTATCTAAAAATTGAGGAAAGGTTGTATTTTAACTAAGATACTGAAATAATTAGTCTGAAAAGATTTTTTCAGTGATTATCAATAAAAACTTCTTCTATATCTGCAGTTCTGATAAACCTGTGAATCCTCTAAAATTTCATGCAAAATTGTGTAGAGATGTTAACTTATATTTTCATTTAAGAAGGGTCTATATAAATAATTGCATTCACAAATAATTCTGTGATTAAAAATGATTGAGTATTTTATGTAAGTATTCTAGAGTATGGTTAAATGAATTTGAACAAAAGACTTTCTGCTTTGTGTTTTGGGCAAAGCAGAGTTGGAATCTTTGTTCACTTTTAGTGTAGTGGTACTATTCATTAGGTATGGGCTAACAGTGTGTATCACTATAAGAGGCCCTCCTGTAGTCCTGTGCAGTGTGTCTGGGAAGTCTGGTAAATTGCAGCCTTTTTCACTGGAAGAATAGAGACTGGTGGTTGATAACGGTTTTTTGTTTTGTTTTTCTTTCCTTTTGTCCTTATTCTTCCTTCTCCTTCCTTTGCTTCAACTTCATTCTTCCTTTTTTTCCATTTCTCTTCTCATCTTTTCCTCCCTAGTACTGGGAGTTGAACCCAGTGGTGCCTACCACTGAGCAAATCCTCAGCTCTTTTTATTTATTTTGAGACAGAGTCTCATTAAGTTGCCCATGCTGGCTTGAAACTTGTAATCCTCCTGTCTCTCTTTCCCCAGTACTTGGGTCTAAAGGCTACACAGGCAACCTTCTCACTTTTCTGACATACTCCTATTTCTAGATGCTGCATGCTGGTAAACTTCTCCTGAAATGTAATTTCTTCTTTATTAACTACAGTAGAGGGCCCAAAAGAAACTGGAATAACAAAAGATAGCTTTAATTAATGGACCTTGGTTGTATTATAGAAAATAGTATTTTATCACAGCAGCTCGGGAGGCTAAGGCAGGAAGACCATGAACTCAAAACCAGCTAAGCAACTTAGTAAGACCCTGAGCAACACAGTGAGAGCCTGTCTCAAAATAAAAAATAAAAAGGGCTGGAGATGTGGTTCAGTGGTTAAGTGTCCCTGAAATCCCCAGTAACTGCCCCTTGGAAAAAGAAAATTCTACCAAATCAATGCAGAAAATAAATAATGTGAACATAATGAAATAAGGAGGGTGGGCTATAAAGAACTGTGGCATGAAATTAATGAAATTAACCCATTTCTGTGTACCTGTGGCCCAAAAATATTTTAGATAATTATCCAAGGATTAAAAAATCAAGATTATATCAGTCATATCATCATTATTTATTTTAATACTATCTTTTTGCCAAATATAGCATTAGTGTTTCCATGGGCTGCATCTTAGAACCTTAGTCTTTTTCTTTTAGTAAATTATTCCCATGCTTCTCCTTTTTCTTAGAACATTTGCACCAGTGTGGGATGTATTCAAAACATCTACAGAAAAATTAGCAAATTGTCACTTGGATCTTGTTAGAAAATTACAAGAATTAATAAAGGAAGTTCAGAAATATGGAGAAGAACAAGCAAAATCTCATAAAAAGGTATCTTTTTTTCTTATTAAGGATTGATTGGTCAGATATTGAATGCTCTATAGCCGAGTCACTTTGATGAATCATTTCATACCAAACAGACTAAAGAAGAAGTTGCAGGAACTCTGGAAGCTGTCCAAACCATTCAGAGCATAACTCAGGCCCTCCAGAAATCCAAGGAAAATTACAATGCCAAGTGTGTAGAACAGGAGCGTCTAAAAAAAGAAGGAGCTACACAAAGAGAAATAGAAAAGGTAATTGTGATAAAAATAATACTTCTATGATTTCAGGGTACTGTGACATACAAGACTACATCTAATCTTTAGACATTCAAGAGTGATCTCATTTTAAAGATGAAAATACACTTTCAGAGTTTGTGATTTATAGAAGTAAGTTTGTAACATCTGTTGTCTTTGATAAATAGATTGACAAACATAAAAGAGGATGATTTTTTATTTCGGTGACAAATTTACAAGTTCTTTTTATTTTCTTTTATTTTTTATGTGTTTTTTTGGATGCTGGGAATTGAACCCAGGGCCTTGGCTCATGGTAGGCAAATGTTCTACCACTGAGCTATATACTCTCAACCCCTGCAGAAAATTTTTATACTAAGATAATTGATGAAATATTGCTTGGTATGAGATTTAACAAGGTAGAAAATTTTTATATATATATCATATTTTGGTTTATTTTAAAAAATTTAGATGCTTGAAGATTATCTTTAGGGGATGGGGATGTGGCTCAAGCGGTAGCCTGCTCGCCTGGCATGCATGCGGCCCGGGTTCGATCCTCAGCACCACATACAAAGAAAGATGTTGTGTCCGCAGAGAACTAGAAAAATAAATAAATAAATATCAAAAAACTCTCTCTCTCTTTCTCTCTCTCTCTCAAAAAAATAATAAAAAAAATATTTTTTTTAAAAAAGATTATCTTTAAATACATATTGTGGATGATTTATTGTTGACTTTGAGCACATTTATGTACATTATGATAAACCACAAACCTTTCCCTCATTCATGCTTTAAAAATATTTTTTTCCACTTTTAAAATGGTTTAACCATTTACTTATTTGATGTACTAATATGGAGTGATAATTTTGAAAACTGTGAAATATTTGAAATATCTAGTAAAAAAAGGAAAACTAAATTATACCCGTAGTACAGTTATGACTAAAAAAGTATATATGCATGGACAATAATTAGAAGAAAAATCAAAACAGTTGATAGAATTTGGAATAATATATTTTACTTAATGTTAGTATGATAGGGGCTGGGGATGTGACTCAAGCACGCTCATCTGGCATGCGTGTGGCCCGGGTTCGATCCCCAGCACCACATACAAACAAGGATGTTGTGTCCGACGAAAACTGAAAAATAAATATTAAAATTCTCTCTCTCTCTCTCTCTCTCTCTCTCTCTCTTAAAAAAATAATGTTAGTATGATAAATGAAAATTGGGAGGCGAGATATAAAACCATAGTAAGCTAATGATTTGAAAACCCTGTGTTCCAGATATAGTGATTTTGAATAAAATATGAAAAGAGAAAGGAAAATAAGAGAGTCTAAAATGAAGAGTATTATCTCTGTAGACCAGAAATCTAAAGTGGCATATAAAGATTGATTATATAAACGTTTGTTGAACTTGAAGTCCTAAGTTAGGCAGTGAAATATTATTTTGTGATAAAGGAGGCCAACGTTCCCTTCTTAGGATGAGGCACAAAGAACTTGAAGCTATAGGTAGAAGGAAAAAAGAAGAATGACTAGGGCTGAAGCCTTATGGGAGGTTTCGGGAAGAGATCCATAGATACATAATCCTATCTGAAATCAAGCCATCAAACCAATTCATGATTTGGTCATATCACCAAAATTTTCATATAGAAATAATTAAAAACTACCTTTGTAAGACTGATACTAAGTTGGATCTTTGGAGGATTGGCAAGAGATAACCTAAAAATTTCTAGAGTGGAGTGGGTAAGTATAAAGGATAGAGCACAGTTCAAGGAGGTGATACCATTTACATTGTATTCTACGTAGCTTTTCAGCAGTTCTGATGGAGTGCAATAGAGGGAAGAACAGAAACAAAATTCCCATTTGAAATGAGTGAGCAACAAAATCTAGAGAACATCTAAAAAATCTAATAGACAGCCAGTGAATTTAATAATTGGAATAAAAAGCTCACCGTGATGAAATTTAAATTTATAAAACATGAACAGAAATATTTATGTGAAAACAAGAAATTTGTCAAAGGTCGTGTAAAGAAATATAAATTTACATTAAAGAAGATTAAGAAAGTAAAAGATACATAATGAAACAATCTACTAGGTAGAAAAAATAGCTAATTAGAAAACTCAGAAATGACAAATATAGATTTGGGTATGACTGCACATATGATGTGATGCTACATTGTGTACAACTAGAGAAATGAAAAGTTGTGCTGCAATTGTGTACAATGAATCAAAATGCATTCTTCTGTAATATATACCTAATTAAAATAAATTAATTAATAAAAATAAATTTGGAAGATAGTACAGGTTGAATATCAATTATTAAAATGTTGGAACAAGAAATACTTTGAGTTTTTTCAGATTTTTTGGAACAAACATATACATATATATAAAATATATTTTATGATATTTATTTTATATGAAGTGTATATATATTTATATGATACTTTAGGGATGGGACATTAAATCTAAAGATAACTAACATTTATGTTTTATATATATATACCTTTATTCATATAATGTGTAGGTAATTTATACACTATTTTTGATAATTTTTACATAAAACAAAGTCTCATTCTGTGGAATTTTGTCCCAAAAAGTTTGGATTTTGGGGTTAAGGACCATGTTCAACCTGACCTAATCTAGAGTGTAGCGTAGCAAAATAAAGTTACCAACATTCATTTACTATTGATTTTCAGAAGGAAAAAAATGGAGGGGAATGGTGGGCAAGTAGTCTTTTGAAGAATTAATAGCTAAGAATTTTTCAGGACTGAAGAAATTTAAGAGTTTGCAAATTGAAAATACTATTATAGAAATTAAGTAGGTTAAGTAAATCCAGGACTATTCACCAGATAAAAACATTTCTTTTGACACATATCTGAAATCAAATTGCATCTCACTTGGTAGTATCATCATATCGATAATTGATAATATATGGATAATCATTGTTGATAATGTGGCATTTATGACATAGTTTCATTGCCTGGGCAAACTTGGCTGCATAATTGTATAGCTGTAGCAGTTTGAAAGTACATTTAACATATCATTTAAGGACCATTTGAGGAAGGAATAGTTCTGATTGTTATTGAAAACCTTTTGTTAAAAACAAGTGCTTGGGAGAAAATCTGGATATAATATTTGAACACTTAAAAGTAAATGGTGTGTCAATAATGCTCTTGATGACATTGAGGATAATATTATGTTTGAAAAAATAGACCTCATTGGTCTCTAAATTAGAAAGCAATTGAAAAGGGTCAGAATCTGAATGTGAGTATGATTTAGGAGTACTATCTATTCATTTTGTTTTTCCTTTTTATTTTTTAAATTGCACAAGCGTGACATCACTGGTAATTTAGAATAAACATTCTCCTCTAATCTAAAAGAGCTCTTTCAACAAATGTGAAGTAAAAGTTCTAAATCTTAAGAAAGCATTAGATCCTTAGTTGATAGCATCTTTTTATTATAGTGGTATACGAGATAATGATGTGTCTTACAATTAATTACACCAGATTTAGTAGTAGTCAAGTATGTTATTAAATTTAACTACTAAAAGAATAAGCAATGTAATTTAAGTCTTTTACATTAGTAGAAGAAGAGGGTATTTAAAATATATATTAATTTAAAAGGAAACAAATAAAGAAGGAAAGAAAAAAATAGTAGACTCAGTAAGTTGAAAGAAAAAAATCCAAACATATCAGTAATCACAATATATATAAATGGATTAGACTTCTAATAATAGATTATTAAATTGAAATATTTGGTAATATGAGAGTGTTTAATAATATGGGACATCACATGGTAGTTCATATAAATGAACTAAATGGGGTAGAATGATAGATTAAGAATTTAAAATATTATAGCAAAAAAAGTTGGAGGAAAAGGAATAAATGAAATCTTGATTCTAGGTGATTGGTTCTTGGGGTCTCTTATACTACAGGAATTGGCTAGAATGACATGTATTAATTAACCTAAATAAATCTAAAAAGCATAATATTGAATAAGAAAAGCAAAGTTTCAGCAGAATATATAGAATTTGATATCTTTTACATAACCTTTAATTCTCTGTAAAACATACTATATATAAAAGTAAATACTTATACAATCAGTGATATGATAAACTGTGGTATAAAGGTGTATTAAGAGTTACAATGCAAAAATAAATAAATCAGAGATATGATAAAAATATAAATGTATGTTTAGCTTTCTCAAAAAAAAGAAAAATATAAGAAAGAATGAGGATATATTAAATTACGTTTATTTAATAAAGTTATCCTGAAAACTACAATTAAAAAAAAAAGTAAATACTTATTAGGGACCTTCATGGAGATAGTAAACACCAGTACATGATGGAAATTACATTGAGGAGGGAAAGAGGGGAATGGATCTATGAAGAACATAGGGCCTTTGTTGTCTGTGTGATGTTTAATTTTTTTCAAAAAAAAAAATGAGAGGAGCAAATATAACATGAAGCAGGGTACAATTCAAAGTAAAATAATTACTTTAAAAATGTAAGCAATAGGAGCAGTTTACTTATAGAACATATGTAACTATTGGTATGGGAAACCATACCAGTTCATTAATGAAGATGTCTATAGTTTAAATTAGTTGAAATTTTCCAGAGGGTGAAAATACTACTGGGTTAAATACTCCCATGTATTCTCTTTTGTGAAACTCAGTGGTCTTAACATATCACCTACTCTTAAGTGATCATTTGAAAAGTATATGGCAAAGAGATTATACTTAAATTGATTCTAAGTCTTTTGATATAAAGAAGGAAAAGTTTAAGGTAATGACTTGGATGAAATAAAAGGATTTCTTTTCTTTTTATATATTGAGCAGGACCATAGCATATGGTTGTATCCAAGTTTGTGAGTTGATGGCTAAAATCCAGCCAGTATTTCACTTGCCTTTAGTGATAGACAGCTCAATGGAATGAGTACTTTTTTTGTAATTCACCTGCTCAGAGGTGGCATCTTTACTTATATGCTGGATATATTAGTCATTCTGATTTATTATGTGATTTATTATGGGT